TATATATATATATATACATATATAAAAATTTGAACGAGTGGTGTTTTTGGCCTCTGGGGACATCAAAATGAAAAAGTAAATCGGTCCCGGGGCTAAGTCTTACCATGAGACCTACGGTAATAGCTACTTCCCTATAGGGAAATTCGCTAAAAGGAGAAAAAAATTTAAAAACAAACTACAGGCCAATCTCAATACTACCCACCCTCTCAAAATATATAGAGAAAATAATTTTTAACCAGATAATGGACCATCTAAACGAAAACAACCTCCTAACTGAAAAACAACATGGTTTTAGACCTCAAAAATCCATTACTACAGCAGTATTTCAATTCTGTGACTTTATAACAAAAAACTGGGAAGAAAATAACAATGTCATTGGAATATACCTGGATATAGAAAAAGCATTTGACAGTCTAAACTGGAAAACCCTTATAAGTAAATTAAATGCACTTAACATAAAACAGGACGCTCAAAAATGGATCAAAAGTTATCTCACAAACAGAAAACAACAAGTAGAAATAGGCTACATAAAAAACAACATTGAACTTAAAACCAAATCTAGACTTCAAGATATGACCCAAGGAATTCCACAAGGAAGCATCCTCGGCCCCCTCCTATTCATCATATATATGAACAATTTTCCAGAAAACCTGCCAACAGGAACGGACTGTATTATTTTTGCCGATGACACCACAGTACTAATCCCTCGAGATCATCACCTCATAACTAACGGAGGAATAGAAAATATTTTAAAACATATCGAGCAATTCTGCAAATCAATAGACCTTAGAATCAATAACGCCAAAACTGTTACAATAGAATTTTCCTGCAAATCAAACCCAAACAAAGCCCCTCTAGGTAACTCAAACCCAAACAGATCAGACCATACCAAATTTCTGGGAATAGAAATAGACGAAAACCTAAAATGGGAACACCATATCAATTCACTGCAACAAAAACTATCTACATCAATCTATGCCATGAGAAGGATAACTAACCTAACCGACTTTACTACAGCTAAAATTGCCTACCATGCACTCATAGAATCACACCTCCGCTTTGGAATAGTTGCCTGGGGCGCAGCAAGTACAGACCTTTTCCAATCAATTTTCATATTACAAAAGGAAGCAATAAGAACCCTAAATAATACCCACTATCAAGAACATTGCAAACCATTTTTTATAAAAAACAAAATTCTCACATTAACATCCTTATACTTGATTGAAGTGATAACCCAAACAATGAAACTGAATCCCACTAAACGATCAGAAACTCATAACTACAACACCAGGAAAAAAACCGATCTGAACCTACCGCAACACAGATTAGAAAAAACAGCAAAAACCCCAACATATAGAGGGATGAAACTTTACAACTTATTACCACATCGGCTAAAAGCTATTACAGACCCGAAAAAATTTGCTAACCAACTGAAAAACTATCTCCTCGAACGACCCTACTACAGTTTAAATGAATTCCTGGATGACCATACTTTTAACAGAAGACAATAAAAAACCAAGATACAACTAAGAAGATAAAGATAAAGAAAAAGATGACGCCTCCCCCATTCTTGATGACTGCGGAGGAGAAGAACAGCAGTAAGCAGTAAGTAAGTAAGTAAGGAGGAATGAAATGTGCTTAAAGATCAAGGGAAAATCAGCTTACGATGTAACCGCGATGATTTAAAATTATTACAGCTGAATAATGCGTACTTCAACGTATTGCAAAACGGCTAAACCTCTTTGTGCTGTTTTCACAAAGAAAACCTGTTATTATAACAGGAAGAGGTAGCCTATAGATCAAAACAAATGACGTCACTGGCCCGTATCTTATACCGTACTAATGACCGTAACGTCTGGTTTGACTATTTTGACAGACCCATAAAAATAAAAAAAAACATGTTTAATTTTGAGCCAGTAGCGTAATTTGCTTATGTTATTTAAATTTGATTATTTTAAACACGTCTATGGTAAATTTACAGGTTGGTAGGATCTTCGTAAGCAGGCCTATTGAAATGGTGCATTTCAATAACAAAGAAAACATACTTGCTGCATATTATTTTCTATAAATACTTATACATTATGACAAGGGATAATCGATAAAATATGTATCTGTCAATTTTCAGGCCAAATGTTTTGAGTTAATTAGGTAGTACTCCTGAGGTATTAGGTCTATCTTCATCGGACTACATTAAATTTTCTCTCTATACCCCGTTTAATTTGAAAGATTTAAACAAACAAAAGGCAATTCAACACAAATCATCCTCGCCAGTCGCCAGAAGACAGGCAGTGGAACGGACCTTTTTCAAGTGCTACCCTCATGCACATAACCCAATGATTGCCTCTTCTTTGTGTTGTTGTTGGTGCGCAGCTGGAGTGGCTGGGATGATCCCCAAGGACAGTCGGATCCTCGGACGTGAGAGCAGAACCGGTAGCTCGTGAGGGGGCGTCCCGCGTCGCCAGGCTGCATATTGAATGTGAAAACAACACGAGTCGAGTCGTGCGAGAAAGTAAATCGAGGAGGGGCGAAGAAAGCGAAGGTAACCCTTTCACTGGGTCATCTGCCGTGTGGGAACACATTTGTGTGTGTGTGTCCCAGCACCATTGTCCGATCGGTCAGTCCGACTTCACGGCACTTACATAACTAAACGACGACCCAGATCGACAAGATACATAAACAGTTTTCTCCGACCTTGATAAATGGCCGAGGTTCAAAAGTCTCGGGACAAAAGAATAAGTGCAAATCAGACTTGGCGTGACCGTAGCAGCGTGGCCTACTGACATTGACTGTGACAACTCTGATGAGAGGACGAGATTTCCCACTCTGATTTATCGTTCCGGTTAGTTTGTCCGACATGTTTTGTCATGTCCGTCATGTAGGTAATTGGCTGATGGGAGATTGCGGGGGTTCTGGTGTAGGTTTTGGTCAAAGCCCCACCAGAAGAGGTCTCCGTGGTCTTCAAGTGTACGATAACATGAGCTATACAAGCTATTCATTCGTAACAGATTTATTTTTCTGGCAAATAATTTAACTGGACATGGTATTATTTGCGAGTAATAATGTCTGTATAACAAATTAAAATCTACATTTGATACTGAAATAATTTATAATGTGATCCATGCTATATGCAAAAGAACTTCAATTATTATTTACACCACGTCAGAAGTTGATAGAAAAATGTTTTTGATAGAAATAAGTGGCGTTTATACTACCCGATGCCTGTATAAGGTATAGAGTTCACTATAACAACATACTTTCCACAGCTCAACAAATTTACAGCTAGGAGTGATGCGATTAGACTTCAACACTTATTAAATTAATGTCAGTGATCTAGTTGATAACTTATTTGAATTCAAAATATGGATCATTGATCATGCATTTGTACAGAAGGATAATTACAGCAGGAAAACCAATTGAGGTTCTTTGTTACTCTTATTGGTGGACCAGGGAATTCACACAAAACATTATTGAGTCAAAGTTTCAGATATTTTAAAATAGTTAACTGATCTAAATCAGGGTTATAGTAACTTACTATTGCTTAACTTACCGTTATGGCCATTTATGAAAATTACATTAATTGGTAATTTTTGGTAATTTTCAATTTTCAATTACCGTTTTGACATAGGTCAAAACGGTTGTGAAAACGTAAAAAAAACATTTTACTAATCGTGTTGTCGAATACCCACAATAATCCTTCAAATAAAAAAAAACTGGTTGTAATTGATGTTTAAGTTAGTAACACATTGCACTTGTAGATATGTCAATATATTAGGCGTTGTACACATTGTAACTGGTCGTATGTGATATTACTTTACTGTAGAATCATAAACACCTCGAGGTTCAATTTGCGGCCTCTGGAAAGGTCACAGTGATTTCTATTCCCATACATGGACGCGCAGATTAAAGAGCTTTCAAGTGTAAAAGTGATTAAACAAGACTCGCATTTGTCACTTGGATCCCAACCAAATTTTAAGCTTGTCCACATCAACCGCAACCTTGAACTGTTTCACCTTTGAACCATATTTCTCTTCCGGTGAAATCTCGACCACAAATCACACCTAGTTGGTTAAACTGACAATTAGAAAGTCACCACAAACTGACAATGAATATTACAAGGGCGTTGTTCATACCCACTCGTCAGATCTACATAATCTCTGGCACAATGGGTGATTCTACCAATCGGTCGTACATTTGCCAATTACTCAGCCTTAGCAGATCAGCAGATCAAGGAACGTGACTTTCTACTTGATAGAACGAATCCATTAATAGCACACGTCGAACTATTGAACACTCCCAGTTGTTCTGAGGCAGAAACAACGGGGCAGAGGGCGACTGAAGTAGAACGAGTGTGGGTGACTGACATGAGATGGAAGAGCTGGGTTCGCGTGTGGGATCCTGGAAAACCTGACAGGGACCAATCAGGAGACAGGGTCAGTAATGTTAATTCCTCAACATTTGGCTCCGACCTGGACTTTCATCCAGGGATTGACCTACCTTCACTCCTTAATTGTTGGGGGTACAAGGTCGTAGGGGACTGTTATATCGTTTAGGTGATGAACACTTTGTTGGATTGCACTATTTGAGACAACTTGAGTCTCTTCTCCGTTAAGTCACTCATATTATTGCTGATGTGGGCTTGAATACCAATGTTCAAAATCACAATAAGTACTGTGCAAAATGTCTTGAAATGAACCACACCAAACAATAACATAACAAACTGTCAAAACTGTCAGGTACCGGTAAGGCAAAAGAGTGAGAATCATGATTCTCTACTAATGTCATTTATCTATTGGCCATGCTTCTGTCAACGTTATTCAACGTGGAGATGAAATCCACTGGGTAATTTTATGTTTTAAAAATTGTACTTATTACTATGCTGATTACAATTTGATTCTAGCCAAATAATTAATTTCATGTTGATTATTGTGTTTTATAATCAATCTAGGACCACAAAAACTAAATATATTAATTTAGTTTGATGAGAGCTGTGTTAGTTACAGGGGATGCCAGGAGATGAAACGGTTTGGACTCTTGTTGGTCGTGATCCTGACCTGCAGTGACGTCACAGGAGACCACCACGACCCCGACTGTGAGGACTGCAATGAAAACGGTAAACCTACTATCAAATCATGTTGGTGGATATTTGAAAACCTTTTGGTAACGTAGAACGGGACTTAATATTGTTGATTTCATTTATCTTGTAGTTAGATTGCCAATCTAAAGAGATGTTTTGAAGTTTAGTTACTCATTTTTGTTAGCTTATAAGTTGTATAAGGGCCTAGGATGTGATAAACTGCTTACTATTGTACAATAGTAAGCCTGAAAAAAAATCTACCTCTGCGAGTAATAGTAATTTTTCACAATATAAAATCGTTCCTCGTACCTAGGTGTGGTCATAAAATTCAAGGGTCAACCATTTAAATACCAATTAACGTTTTAGTCCCCCAATTCACTTGATTTATGTCCTACCATTCTCTAAAAATAGGCATACAGTAATTTCGTCAATTACAGCTCAAAAGCCATCATGTAGATAGATGTACATAGATTTTAACTACTATTACTGAAATCTATATCCAATTACACGAGCAACTATTTTACAGGAGTTTTTTTTTTAGCAAATAAAATCTGCTTTTTGAATTGGTTTAAGTGTTCACTGCAAGAGGAATAAAATTTATATTATCTCGTTTCGTATTATTTTATATTCATAACTTTTTTAGTATGTACCGGTATTGAATGACTGGATCGACTAGGATAAGAATGCGTACACAGTTCAACGTACTTTGTGCAAATATTGAATAGATATATTGAAATGAAATGAAAACATTTATAGTTTTTCTACCAACTTTGTTTGAATTCTATCTAGGTTTAGAATAGGATTTGGGTTAGGAAGAGTGGAACTTGAATAAAAAAAAATGTAAATGACGTATATCTAAAAAAAACCATGTCTGTTTTTCATGTTATTTTTCAAAGAATACAAACTAAATTTCGTATACTTAATTCTTATTCAACAAATTAATTTCACTGTTAGGTAGTTTTTAGAATAGCTGAAATGATAAGTTGAATGCAGCCGTTATCAATGACTTGTAATTTAAAAATCTTTTAAAGTGATTAATTGTTGACTATAAACATGGTTTAAAGTTTCATAACACAGTTAGAAAACAAGATAAGAGTTCGCTCATGGTAACATTTAATTTAGCATAACACACGGGATTGGGGCTTGTCTCGGATGATCCAATGTATTCACTGTACATATTGAAGTGGTAGAGATTTGCTTCGCCTCCAGGACGTTTTAGGCTATGATTTTATTTCTTTTGTTTTTCCATCTCATATAATAACATTCACTCGCTGGATTCAATGTAAAATTGTACAACATAAATTTGTTGGGATTGTTCAAAGATTTCTTGTGATAGTTCAACAATTTCTCTATGATATATTTTTAAATATTTTAGTTATAATAATATTCAAAGTTACTTATAATAATATAACAAATACTTAATAATGTTTTTTAACTTACTAGTAATATAATAGTTACTTATAATGATGTAACAAATACTAACGTAGTTTTTTCATAATCAATTTACTTTTTTGGATTTTTTGTTTAGGGTATTTTCTACGCTAATGATAGAAAAAATGAATGAATTGATTTATTTTACCATGTTTGTTTCATGTTGAACACAAGCATCAATTGCACTTTCAGTATACCTTGTGATCCTCTTTTCTGAAGGTATTTAAACACCCAATTAAATAAAACCTCAAATGATTTACAAGAATTACAAAAATGATTGCTCTTAAAATTAATTGTAAATTCAAAAACACGTAACAAGGAAACACATGATACATAACCCTAAAATGTTGTGTAGTGGTTTCGTCTGTTATGTTCAACATCTACATTATCCGAAATAAATTGATGGCTCTTGGAGACCGATCTTACCAATCACAGTACAGTTTTCAGCGCTGTCCCTATTTGCTCGGCAGTTACTGTAAACACCGTATCGGCAGTTTACCGCGCATGGTTTTGCTAGGCGTGTTGTTACTCTCGTTATCAAGAATGCGGGGAAAGCTCGAGCAATCGAATGTGACAAACTGACAGATCGCGTTACCATTTGATTTGCTTGGATTCGTGATTGTGAAATTATGTGAACTACGTTGTTCGATATCACGCACTATATTAACACTATTTCCGGGTTCTTTGTTTCATAACGAAACAATGTTAAAATGTTTACAGGGCATGTTTGAGTTTTTGGTGAAAGAATACATGCAGCCTTTTTCTTAATCTGTTTTGACACAAACATATACGATTGGTGGTCTTGAGGTAAACAAAGTAAAAATATTGAGTGTTTTCTTGGATTAAATTTTGAAAACGACAACAAAAGATTTTGGAAAAACCTTACAATGTTTACTTGTAGTTACTTTTAAGCGAAGGAAAGGGAATGGTGGAAATGAAGTACAAAGTGTTCATAGATAAATATAGAATTTTTTGGATAATGCATGTTGAAAAATAACCCACACGATGTACAAAAAATCCAGGATTATCTTTAAGACCAACAAGGTGTAGATGAATTTCCCATTAGTTTTTACAGTATGAATTTTCAAATATTTTACAGTTTGAATTTTTATCGACTACTTAGTTTTATTTTACTAACTATTATCACTTACTTAGTTACTAATCGTATTTAAATCTTGTTGTTAAAAGGTAATAAATCCATCTAAATGTAGGTTTTTATGGTTTATCTACAGACATTACTGTATATTTTATTAGATTTTCTTTTTAAGTTACAAAAACATAGTAATAAACTTCCAAAATGTACCAAGTTTATGGAAGTAGAGTTTCGGATGTTTGCAATAACATTGAGGAAACCGAGAGTCATTTAAATGCGAAGGGTGGGCTCAGATTATGGTAATATGATTGCGGGGAAAGTTTAATAAAAAAAAGGAAATATGCCGTGCTTTTGGTTATGGAATTGAAATTCATATACATTCATTGTATAATGTAATTCATTATATTTCCATATGATGTTAACATTTCTAAGCTATGTTTCCAGTACAGTATGTTTGCGCTAATATGTATGTATTATCTTATTACTTTAACGCTTAAAGATGCCGTCAAAGTAATACTAGTTAGATTATTGTCTCAATAAATATTTAAGTTTGTAACATAACATACAAACTTGACTAAAACTAAAACAAATTCAACAAAAATGTTAATTACTTATGCTTGACACATTTATTCGATTGGTTCAATTGGCTAGTTATATTTTGTAGGTACAAATAGGTTTGAACGGATATTTAGTGCTTTTATATAAATGTCCAATGCACCATTACAATTTTACATTTTAGCATGGATACAAATTATATAGACATTGTTTACAGCTATGAACAACGATCTTGTTAGCACAGCTATTTTTATACCGTTAATATTTAAGCCTCAAAATATTAAAAATACAGCATTTGTCAAGCAAAAGTACCCGAGTTACAAATAACCTTTTAGTGAAATTAAAAAGCGATGAAATTAATGTAACTCAACTAAATGTAATTTGTCTGGGAGTTCTAGAATTCAAGGGAATCATTAGGTTGAAACTAATTTAAATCCATCTCCAGTTAAATTTTTACAAACGTGTTTTGCATTTTTACCAATTCTAACAACAATTAGTATCTCGCTAGTAAACCTTTTCGTAAATGGATAAAATTGTAATAGTTGGTTTACTGGATATGTTAAATTAGTCCATTATTACTCTAATTTGTAAACTGGTTGCATTTAAATTATGGTTTAACAAACGTAAAATGACTCAGTTATAGTTAAAATAAAGAGACCCGTGAGAAAAACGAAAGAACTTCTTGAAAAAATAAATGTAAATGCGAGGTTACAATTGAAAACCCACAGAGGCCTAGTTGAGAATAGTAATTGGTGTTTAATATTGTGTTATTGAACGTAAAATCAATTAATTTTCAGGTGAAACCCGATATTAGAACAATCCTATCCAAAGGTATCAATTTATATGGTATAATAACCATAAATAAACATCAAACTGAACTTGTCTCTAGGGGTTGTAATTTGTATTAAATTTCCAATTTATAGTGTGTTGTTTTGCGTTATTGTTTTATTTCATTGCAAAACAAGTGAAAATTTCGTTCTTTCAACGAACATAACAGAAAATAATTTAGTTTGTTAAGGGAATAGTTTGTAACTCATGTTCTATACATTCACCGTTAGCACGTTTAAGCATAAATTAACAATATTTATTTGAGCTTGGTACAGATCAACTTAATAGTTAAAGATTGTATCTTGTATTTGTTGTATTTGTATATTTTTAGTGTATTTCGATGCTTATTATTAAAATATAGAAATTTCTATTTTGATGAAGTTTTAAAGGAGCTTCCTAAATTCAATTTACAAAATTGATATTTTTAATTAAATTATTAAAACTTTTTTTTTGTTTTCACGGGTGATATTGATCCATATTTAAGATTTTTTTCATCAGATAGAAGATATCTTTTAAGGAAACTTACATCACATTGTCAAAGTATGCAATATCCTCCTTGCATAAGATTTAGAGCTAACAGCATGATTAGAAACCAACTTGCAAACCCCGAGGGTTCACGCACTTGAAGTTTATCCATAAACTATGGGGTCAACAATTAGATTTACACCTATTATACAATAAAATGCATAAATAGTTATTTAACATTAAAATGCAACACTGTTGACAATCCCCTTAAGTTTTATTGCAAACAATTACATCTCTCGTTACTTGAAGCTTTAGTTCTTAGACATATGAACATTCCTAATTAACCTTACTAGGGTGTAGCAAATCAATTTAGTTTTAGTAAATTTTTCATGCGTTATGGAGTCAAATTGTGAATATCTAATCTCTTTTTCTTACTTTCTTTTTTGCAGCTGCTCTATTATAGTATGGCAATTGTTTGTGAGTACAAATAAAAACAAGTCATTGCTGTGGAGTTTATTAAGATTTTTTTTGTTACAGGCTCTTGGTTCCCATTGTTCCAACCATCTCAGATCATCAGTTCAGAGTTTCCTGAGCACGAACAGTACCGCTCAGGAGAGGCTCCAGCTCCCCTGACCTACGCCACGGCACGACCCCAGGTGTCACGGGAGTCGCTGTCCCACGAGTGTGAGGAGCCTCCACAGGTGGTGCACCTAGGATCCCGGGAGGTGACGGGGGTGGACACTCCGGTGCAGAACTACAACGGCGGTGGACAACACCGAGTGGAGTGGGACCACTATGGTGACGTCACCACGTTGTCAACAGTGGCCTACAACAGCCTAGAAGAACGAGGAGGAGCTCCAAGAGGTGTAAGCGGCGAGGACCGCAGTGACTACAGACAAACAGGTCCTGAACAAGACAATAGTGCTAGCGTCAAGAGCGAAGAGTTCTTCGAAAACGGGAGCTTCTTTGACGACAAACCTTCTAGAGAAAGTTCCCAAGACTTTGGTAACGAATATCCCTTTTCGGGAGAACACCATCACCACGGAAACTCCATTGAGTACGACTCACATGAAACGTACGGTAGGAAACCGGTAGCGACATCGTACGCTTCCATATCCTCCGTGTTTGAATCCCGCCCAGTTCCGAGAGCCAGGGATCTACTGCATCCTGAAATGTTCAACGAAATCCCTCACTACGTCAACCTAAAACCTGTAAGATTGAACAAGACCAGGCAATACTTCGTGCACGAGCCTCTTTCTAGAGAGGACCCTGGTGTGCTTCGCATCTCTCATACTCCAGGTCATCCCTCGGTTATGGGTAGGAACAAACCTCTAGGACCTCTGGGTCCCCGACCGTCCTCCTTTGTGCCAGTGAATCATCCTGTGTACCGTTATGTCAAGGTTCATGGAGGTTTGAACAGAAAACCCAGCCAAAGTCGCTCCACTCTCAACCTAGAGGACATCCATCCTCAACTCAGATCCAAGTTCCCGTTCAAATACCTGCACCCTCGCGTACACGTGCAGAACCAAGAGAACTTCGTACAACACGTAGTTCCCACCAAGGACCCATTCTCGGACTCGTTCTTTAAAGAGTCCCAGAAAATCGAAGACCTCAAACCACCCCCTTTGGGGCAAACACTGTACTATTATAAGAAAAAACCGAACCCAATGGAAATGAAAAACATCGCGAGAAGAAGGCATAGTCCAGGATACATGTATATTATAAGAAGGAATAATAAGAAATTGTATTGAGCATGAATGACAAATTATGTGTCGCTTTAAGTTTTTGTAAGTTCCTTCTACATCTATTGTTATTTAAAACTGTGTCAGTTCCTTTTTTGTACATTTTATTTATTTCATAGTATAAGCAAACGTATTTTACTTAACCACAAATAATTTGTACTTAGCTGTAGTTTATTGTAAAAATAACATAGATTTATGATAAAGAAACAATCAGACGTTTAGTTTATTTCAAATTTCCTAATTGTATTTTCGTGACAGTATTATCTGCTACAAATACAAAAAGTACAGCCCATCAACTAACACAACAACGAAAAATTTTAAGTTGAATATATATACAGAATAAATTTAGAATCGAATTTAGGACACTGAAATAGACATCCCCCGTCTAAATTGAACAGCTATAGCCAAATATTGAATAAAAAAGAGCATAATAAATGAACCATTCATGGATTGTGCTACAGTCAGTTTTCTCTCTTGATATTTGAAAATTTCCCCTATAGATAAAATACTACTGGTTTCTTGTGGCACGCATCCTCTGGTTAGCACAGTGTGTCTTCTATACTCTATTTTTTTAAACTTTAGTACAAGTTAAAAAAACTTCCATTATCTACATTTTCCCTCCTTCTCCCCTCCTAAAAGAATAAACCAGGAATACATGTTCAGGTAAGTTTAACTATTAGCATAGACTTAGCCACACTAAATAATATATTTGTCTAGTTCTAAGACACTATAAGATAGCAGCCTAATGATATACCAACCAACTAAATAACACTAAAGCTAAGCGAAAAAATGCCATTAGAAAATGTTGATTCTATTATCAGGAGAGGTGCCGGGCTGGGAACCGGTGTAGTGGGTTAAAAATGTTGTGGCCCTGATAAGGACCGTTTAGTAAAGAGCTCATACGTCCCTTCAAAGGAAGGCATACTCAAACTATCATTGTTCATGGACATGTACGTAATCATAATGTCGCAATGCAATCTTTTACATACAAGATGCTGAAAGTTTAAATTGAAGTTCAAATTGGAACAAACAGTCTAGTCAGCTCTTGAAGTTTTGGCTGATGTAAAGTTTCTTGTGCCTCACCTGAGGAGAAGTCAACTTCACAACGGTCAAGCGCTTCCAGAGCTGCCTCATCAGATAAAATCCACCCTCCCAACAAGATTACAGCAAACGGGTTTCTCAACAAATTGACTCAAAGTAAATTGCATGTTTACAAAGTTATTGAACTATTTGTTTACACGATTAAGTATTTTATAATTTTGACTGTCGAAATTGATGCTACCAAAGCCGGATTTTCCTAGACGCGGAAGAGGAGAGTGGAGAGCTGAAAAGCGATTAACATGGCATTCCGCTCCACTTCTAGGAAAACAGTAACATTAAATTACCTAAAGACAAGAGGAGTCCGCTCTCCGCGTTCCTCTCTCCGCGCTCCGCTTCCTCGTCTAGGAAAACCTTGGTTTAGAAAATGTTTTTATACATCTCGCTACAGGTAGAAATTAATTCTTGGGAATTTAAGGACGTAGGAATATTTGAGTAAATTACACATTGACAACAAGTGATAACTAAAACAAATATTGAAGAAGATCGTTAGTATTGAAATAATCATAATATTAAAAGACCAAGTTTTAATTAATTATGTTTTAATATATTTTAAAGTAGCCCATACTAATATTAATTTTTGTGATTGAGTATTTTTACCTTATTATTCTAAAGGTATTATGCACTCATGGAAAATAGTGTTAAGTGGCAGAGGATTTAACATTTGGTGGCCAAATCACACCCTAAGGAGCACTCTACCCTCCCCTCTCAACCCGTTCACCACATCACCCAACCCTATGGCGTTTTCTCTTGTTCAGCCTAAGTATCTTCTGGGACGGAAACCAATAACTCTTACTTTCCGAGTAACTTTTAAATACTTGAAATTAACTTAAATATTCTTAATAATTAATTCTTAATAATTAAATATTCTAAATAATTTTTGATAGTGTGTGAATAAGGAGTTTTATTTTTTAAGTGCGTAAATCATTAACTTTATTAACATCATTGACTTTCTTTTTTCCAAAATGTTTATAAAAACCTATTTGAATTTGTATGGTTTATTTCCCAAAAAACAATGTATGGGAAATAAAAGTAACCAGTTAATATTTTAAGTTAATACTTTTTAGTGGATCACTAAAAGTTTATCTACATACAGCAGATCTATAGAATAATAATATTCTCTTAAGCGTTCTCTTCCCGTTGCGAAGCACGGGTTTGGCGGCTAGTACCAAATAAAATAATAAAATAAATTACTTCAGTAGTGGTTCACGTACAGTAAATAGTTTTATTGTTTTTATTTAAATTTAAAAATATCCTCCAGACATGGAATCTTATATTTTGATTGTAAATATAAGATTTTATAAGATCTTTTCAAATCTGGAAAACACCTCCAGAAAAATTAGGTAATTCACACCTTTATAATGTGTAAAAAGGTTACATTATTCATATGAAAAATTTATTTGACAACTACCATTTTAGATGAAGGAAAACATTATAATTGAAATATTATCAGAGGGTCTTAAACATTGTGAAAGTTAAAGAGTTTTCAAAGTAGGGTAATCCCGCTTAAACAGTTTTCTCAGACAATGTCTCATTTGTCAGACTTTTAGCTAAAACAATAGAGCATCGATCTAAATTTATAATGAACCTAAGAAGAGTTGATTCAGAAATTGTCCGGACAATAGAAGAGACTGAGGCGTTTGGAGGTGGATCGTTCCATGCTATTAGACTACGATCACTCAAGCTGAAGCAGATTAATTGAACCTTCCACAGACCACTGAAATTACTGCTCGGACACGTCCAGCCTGCCAGCTGACTCAAAGACCAGTAAGTGTACTTTGTTAACATGTGAAACAAAGGGGTGAATTATACAACGCTCCATGCGTACCTTGCAGTAGGCCCACTGGTTAAATTTGGTAAATCTACTGTGTAATTTTACAGAAGCTGTGCAAGTTACAATTATTTGTTCGTTAAATGTTTCTTTTAGTTTAACTGAAATAGTATTGCCAATAAAAAATACACAACAACATAATCTGTACTTGGTTGGAAAAAAATTAAACCAACGGATTTGCTGAATTGAATTCAAAAATACAAAGTACAAAAATGATAGTATTATATGAAAGACAAGATAGAACATAAGCAATTTGAGAAATATCACAAACTATCAGCTACAAAAATAGTAAATCACACATTTTAAATTAGTAGAATAATTCAAAATGTTTAAAACTAGCTATATTTTTACTAATCAATGAAATTAAATTTATTTATGTATACTATCCCTTGTAAGACCTGAAGACAGTTGAACAATTCCAAATTCACGCATAGATCGTCAATTGTAGTGGTATGACAAAGACAGTTTAATAAAATTCAATGGTTCAATCGATTTAGATTATCCAATAAAGCTATGAATTTAAACCGTACTTATTAGAAAATGACTTTTCGTTTTCTATCAATATCCTCGATGTTGTAGGGTAAAAATCACAAAATACAGTACCCAAATCTATACAGGGTTAGTAAAAAGTGTGGAGACCCCCTGTTATTTTTTTAACAACCCATACTAGAAAAACTAAACTCGGCACACCATTATGGCATGTTATGAAGTACTTTTTGGGCATAACCGCCACTTGGTGTTCATCCCCAAAATGGGGGATTTGGGGGGAAACTCAAAAATTTCAAATAAAAAGACGCATCGAGTGACCCCTCATTTTAAAGGTCCTGGTAAAAGAAAACCAAAAACGCAAATTAGAGGTCTCTATCTCAGTTCAGTTAAAGATGGCAGCCAATTGAAATTCTCATAAGTTCCCAAACCCCAAATGGGGGATTTTGGGGGAAACTCAAAAACTTTAAACGATAAGCCCCATCGAGTGACCCCTCATTTTGAAGGTCATAATAAAAGAAAACTAACAACGCTAACTATAGGTCTCTATCTTAAAAATATGGCAGCCAATTGAATATAAAATTGCAAGTTATTACCGATTTCTAAAGATTTCAATCAGCTTCCCTTTTTTTTACTAGATTGAGAAAGAAACCTCTAGTTTGCGTTGTTACTTTTCTATTACCAGGGCCTTCAAAATGAGGGGTCATTTGATGGGGCTTATCTTTTAAAACTTTTGAGTTTTCCCCAAAATCCCCCATTTTGGGTTTGGTAAGCAAGTGGCTATTAGGCTTAAAAAGTACTTCATAGCATGCCAAAGAGGTGTGTAGAGTTTAGTTTTCTTAGTGTGAGCCGCTACAAAATTTACAGGGGGTCTCCAGACTTGGAAAGCTGTAAGTTTAATTTAACTTCTGAGAATTTCAATTGGCTGCCATTTTTTACTGGATTGAGATAAAGACCTCTAGTTTGCGTTGTTGGTCTTCTTTTACCGGGACCTTCAAAATGAGGGGATGGGTCTTTGTTTTTGAAATTTTTAAGTTTCCCCCAAAATCCCCCATTTTGGGGATGTGCACCAAGTGACGGTTATGCCCAAAAAGTACTTCATAAGATGTCATAAAGGTGTGCCGAGTTTAGTTTTTCTAGTATGGGCCGTTAAAAAAATAACAGGGGGTCTCCACACTTTTTACTAACCCTTTATATTTGTGTAACACGGTTCATCAAATGCAATAATACAAGCCATATTGCACGTCCATAACATTTTTGACTTTTTCTAGTTCCTTCTTAATTTGTTTGATCGAAACTATTTTACGAGTATGGTAAAAAAAAACTCTTATTCACGACGTACGTCTATAAAACTTATTTTTTACATTCATAATTATCAATTTATTGTTTTTGGACAAAGTCTTCGGTTAAAATGTGTTTGTTACCTCATATATGATATATATATATGTGTCTTTGTACACCCAATATAACCACGTCTTCTAAGCTACGTCAAAAAGTGTTGGCAACAAATTCTAGCAATGTCTATTGTCTAGGCGTTATGCTATCCATCAAAATTTATTTGGCATATAAAAGCAAGACATTCTCCTTTATCTATATATATATTCATAGATTGTGTTTGGTTAGTCTATGGTACAGGTACATCTTTCCTTTTTTCACGACAATCTCTTCTTTGTTAAACCTCGTAATTAAAACACACGGGAAGTCCACAAAATGTGCTCTCCTTTTCCCATTGACGTTCCTTCATTCATTACCACTAAGATTTAAACACGAAAATCAAAGTGAAACTCGC